CTGTCTCTAGTTACAAATAACTAATCTCTCATCAATTAGTGTTTCGTATTGTAATTGTATCTGGTTAATTGCGGTACACAGCGGGGATCATATCCTACACCCCAGGGAGCGATGTGATGTTGGCACAGTTATCACAAGGGACGAGGTTGCATCAATATAAATTATTTTTAAAGAACTGTAAATTTAAAAAATACAACGTGTTTGAAGTCTATGTAAAGCCAGGAACTGTATAAACTTCATTATGCAAATGTAAAAGTTCCTTTCAGTCTTTTTCAAACAGTTTGATCCTGCGGTAATGCTGCTCAGGGCTGTAGCTACCATGGGGGCGAGTGAGGCACTCGCCTCAGGCGCAGCTGAGAGGGGGCGCAGCCAGTGCCGGCCTGACTGCGCCCCCTTGCCCCTGTTGCCATGGAGAGCACAAGGCGCCATTGGCAATAGGGGCCCCAGGCGGCCAACACAGCTGCGGCACGGCAGGGAGAAGAGGAGCGGCACAGGCTCTAGCCTCACCTCGGATCCCTGCTGCTCTCCCCCGCCTGTATGGGCAGAGGACTCTGTGTCCACAATCTCTCTTTCTATTTCAAAAGGAAATGTCAGGAGTCTGTTTAGACCCCCAATATTTCCCAGAAGCCCCCCAACAGTAAAAATAAAAATAATAAAAATAAATGAATAAAAAACCCAAACCCAACCCCCCCCCAACAAACACACACACACATATTACTAGACATGTGCAATGACAAAAAATTAGTTTCGGACGAAATGAACGGAAACTAAAAATGTTTTCATTAGTTTCGTCAAACCAAGCACATTTTTATGCTATTTTGGATTTGGCCACCAGCGCATTCTGCGCTTGCGCGCTGCCATTCTGGAGGCGGGGCGCACGATGTCACATACCACACACGTCTGTTGGGGGGCACAATTTTCCGTTCTTGCCTCGGGCCCAAAAGGAGCTAGCAATGTCTCTGATGCTGCTTATAAAGTCACTTGCTGTGATAGGGTGACAATGCTCTATCCTGGTCTCTGACTTGGGAATCCTGTTGTCACAGGATTCCCAAGGTCACATGGGCTTTTAATGGAGCTACAGGTGGCTGTTTGAGCAGCACAGTGGTGTAGGGGTTAGCACTTCTGTCTTGCAGCACTTGGGGCCCCCTGGTTCGAATACAGGCCAGGGCACAATCTGCAAGGAGTTTACATGTTCTCCCTGTGCTTGCGTGGGTTTCCTCCGGATATTCTGGTTTCCTCCCACACTCCAAAGACCTACTGGAAGGTTAATTGGCTCCCAGTATGTGAGATTAGACATTAGATTATAAGATCCTTGAGGGCAGGGAATGATGCGCATGGACACTATGTAATGCTTCAATTGTCAGCGCGATATAAATACCTGTAATAAATAAATGTTTTGTCACACAGGCTTGGTCCAGTGTTGTCACCACGAGAAAACCTGCCCCGCCATACATCCATTGCTGGAGTGCATCTAGACAGGAAGTGGCTGCAAGTGATCAGCAGCTCAATATACAACTTTTTTTTTTGCTTTAGTAAACTGTCACTTAGTTGGGTCTCACACCTACACTAAATTGCCAAAAGTATTGGGACGCCGGCTTTTACATGCACATGAACTTTAATGGAGTGCCAGTCTTAGTCCGTAGGGTTTAGTATTGAGTTGGCTCCGCCCTTTGCCGCTATAACAGCTTCAACTCTTCTGGGAAGGCGTCCACAAGGTTTAGGAGTGTGTCTATGGGAATGTTGGACCATTTGTGAGGTCAGGTACTGATGTTGGAGGAGAAGGCCGGGCTCGCAGTCTCCACTCTAATCCCAAAGGTGTTCTATGGGGTTGAGGTCAGGTTGTGCGGCCAGTCAAGTTCCTCCACCACAAACCTCCCCATCCATTTCTTTATGGACCTTGCTTTGTGCACTGGTGTGCAGTCATGTTGGAACAGGAAGGGGGCCATCCCCAAACTGTTTCCACAAAGTTGGGAGCATGAAATTGTCCAAAATGTCTTGGTATGCTGATGTCTTAAGAGTTCCCTTCACTGGAACTAAGGGGCGGAGCCCAACCCCTGAACAACACCCCCCCTCCATAATCCCCCCTCCTGTTTATATATTTAAAGAATTTATTTGGGTTCCTTTTGCTTTTTGTTGCTATATGTGTTCCTCATATTCTACTTTTGCTTTTTTTTTTTACATCTTTTGTTGCATTCCTTGTAGTTTCCGAATGCAGATATCCTTGACACTTCCCCATTTCTCCTCAGTGTTCATATTCAGTAAGTTTTCATCCCAATCTATGTCACATAGTAGGCCTCTTAGTTTATTAAAGTTAGCGTTTCTAAAATTGGGTGTTCTTGTTGTACTGATATGCCTGTGCTTCTTTGAGTTTCCAATGAATGTTACCAAGCTGTTGTCAGGGCCGGATTTACTCTCCCTGCTGCCCCAAGGCCAGGTTCCGCAATACGCACCCCTCCCCACCCCTCTCGCTGCCTCTCTGGTGTGGCTCGTGGTCCTGGAAGTATTTCAGAGAATACCACCTCTGAATATTTCTAGCCGATTCTTGTGACATCCGGTGCATCTGACTCTGAAATGTGGCACCAGAAGTTGGATACTGTTTCAGTTTGAGCATTTGTCCGCACTGTTTGCAGTTACCTCTGTATTAGGTGTCGGCTGAGTTTGTTTTCTGTGTGCAGCATTTATTTTTAGATCGTATAGATTTATATTAAAGTGACACTAAACGCAAGAGTTAAATCTATTAACAAAAAGATATCTTATTTGTGTATCACTCGGCTGTAGATCCTCCAATCATCTCTGAATTGGTGCTGACACTGTCCTTCCATCTGGAGGGGGGCTACTTGTGTTCCCCATGGTCCCTGTGTGTGTTGTAAAGTAGTCACCGCTCCAAGCTCACTCCCGGGATGGACTACAATCTCATGTTTAGTTCTAAATCTATATGATCTAAAAATAAAAAATAAATGCTGCACACAGAAAACAAACTCAGCCGACACCTAATACAGAGGTAACTGCAAACAGTGCGGACAAATGCTCAAACTCATCATCGTAATAATTGTATCATCATAACCATTGTATCATCGTATCCATTGTAACCATTGTATCATCGTAATCATTGTGTCATCGTATCAATTGTATCATCGTATCCATTGTATCATTGTATCCTTGTATCATTGTAACCATTGTATCATTGTAACCATTGTATCATCGTAACCATTGTATCATTGTATCCTTGTATCATTGTAACCATTGTATCATCCTAACCATTGTATCATCCTAACCATTGTATCATCCTAACCATTGTATCATCCTAACCATTGTATCATTGTATCATCCTAACCATTGTATCACCCTAACCATTGTATCATCCTAACCATCCTAACCATTGTATCATCCTAAACATTGTATAATCCTAACCATTGTATCATCCTATCATTGTATCATCCTAACCATTGTATCATCCTATCATCCTAACCATTGTATCATTGTATCATCCTAACCATTGTATCATCCTAACCATTGTATCATTGTATCATCCTAACCATTGTATCATTGTATCATCCTAACCATTGTATCATTGTAACCATTGTATCATCGTATCATCCTAACCATTGTATCATTGTAACCATTGTATCATTGTAACCATTGCATCATCCTAACTATTGTATCATCGTATCATCCTAACCATTGTATCATCGTATCATCCTAACCATTGTATCATCGTATCATCCTAACCATTGTATCATCGTATCATCCTAACCATTGTATCATCCTAACCATTGTATCATTGTATCATCCTAACCATTGTATCATTGTATCATCCTAACCATTGTATCATCCTAACCATTGTATCATCCTAACCATTGTATCATCCTAAACATTGTATCATTGTATCATCCTAAACATTGTATCATTGTATCATCCTAACCATTGTATCATTGTATCATCCTAACCATTGTATCACCCTAACCATTGTATCATCCTAACCATTGTATCATTGTATCATCCTAACCATTGTATCACCCTAACCATTGTATCATCCTAACCATTGTATCATTGTATCATCCTAACCATTGTATCACCCTAACCATTGTATCATCCTAACCATTGTATCATTGTATCATCCTAACCATTGTATCACCCTAACCATTGTATCATCCTAACCATTGTATCATTGTATCATCCTAACCATTGTATCACCCTAACCATTGTATCATCCTAACCATTGTATCATTGTATCATCCTAACCATTGTATCACCCTAACCATTGTATCATCCTAACCATCCTAACCATTGTATCATCGTATCATCCTAACCATTGTATCATTGTAAATTGTAATTTTGAATAAAGGGGAAAGTGATTCAGTACAGAGTTTATGTGATCTAGCTGCAACTGAGTAACTGCAGCAGAAATTGGCCCAATTCACCCCGTTCTGACCATTAACATTTTCAGGAGGAAGTAAATCAAGTTTCTCTCTTAGTAAAGGTTTCCTGGAATTACATCATGTATACACTTTTTTTTTAGGCCTCATTCACACGAGAAAAGGCCGGCATGTACAGCTCCGTGCTGCATGCACGGCCGTATCGGGCAGCTCCCGGAAGGACAGGTGCTGCGTGTGCTTAGAACGCAGCCCCCGTCCTTCTCTATGGGAATACGCGGCCGTATGCCGCCCTACGCTCACCCCAAATGCAGGTCTGTACAGGTGCGGGTGTCCCAGCTCGGATGCAGACAAGATTCATCCTGTGAACGTACGAGTACGGACACCCACACCTGCACGGACGTACAGGGCGGGTGAGCTTAGGGGGCCGCACGGCCGCGTAGTCCTATAGAGAAGGATGGGGGCTGCGTACTAATCACACGCAGCACCTGTCCTTCGCGGGGGCTGCCCGATACGGCCGTGCACGCAGCACAGAGCTGTACGTGCCGGCCGTTTCTCGTGTGAATGAGGCCTTACTTTACACATGTTCATTTATTATGTAAGCACAGCATCCCTGTCATGCTCTGACGGTGACTAGAAGAAATAGACCATCTCGTAGCCGCTGATGTTCCCCGTGTATGTCGGTGACCAGTTGTATATCAGAGCCGATTCTTCCTCCTCAGCATTTGGAAAGTGATTCAGATTTTTTCTGGCTGTGATAGGAAGAAGAACGTGTATAAAAATATGAATATAAACATTTTTCCCATTTAAAAAAAATTCAGGCAAAGTTGGGTGATTTCTCTAAAGTATGGACCTGACTTTATTCAACCTTAACAACTACTGTATGTAACCACATAACCACGGAACCATGTAACTATGTATCCACGTAACCACATAACTATGTAGTCACGTAACCATGTAAATATGTAACTATGTAACCATGGAACCATGTAACCATTTAACTATGTAGTCACGTAACCATGTAAATATGTAACTATGTAACCATGGAACCATGTAACCATTTAACTATGTAGTCACGTAACCATGTAAATATGTAACTATGTAACCATGGAACCATGTAACCATTTAACTATGTAGTCACGTAACCATGCAACTATTTAACCACATAGCTATGTAGTCACGTAACCATGTAATTTTGTAACCATGTAACTTTGTAACCATGTAACTATGTAACCACATAACTATGTAGCCTTGTAGCTATGTAACCATGTAACCCCATAACTATGTAGCCTTGTAACCATGTAACCACATAACCACGTAACTATGGAACCATGTAGACTTGTAACCACATAACCACGTAACTATGGAACCATGTAGACTTGTAACCACATAACCACGTAACTATGGAACCATGTAGACTTGTAACCACATAACCACGTAACTATGGAAACATGTAACTATGGAACCATGTAAATTGTAATTTTGAATAAAGGGGAAAGCGATTCAGTACAGAGTTTATGTGATCTAACTGCAACTGAGTAACTGCAGCAGAAATTGGCACAAATCACCCCGATCTGACAATTAATATTTTCAGGAGGAAGTAAATCAAGTTTCTCTCTCAGTAAAGGTTTCCTGGAACTACATCATGTATCCAGCAATTGAATGAGTTCGGCTGCTTCAGTGTCCACCTCCTCACATCTTATTCTCATCTTGGATTTGTCACCTGAGGACCCTTAGGTGTGTTACTGGTGAAATCATCAGGTAAAAAAAAACAACTAAAAAAATAGAAAACTAATGCAGCCACCTCACCTCAAGAGTAATAGGCCACAGTATATTAATTTTGTTAAGATATTGATTTAATGCTCTGACACAACATTTTTCAGACTGGTCACACCCTTATCAATGTTCATGGATATAAGTGTAACATATGCTGGTTATAGGCTGTCTGACATTTTTATATTGACCTAAAATATCAGAATAGAATCCATTTAGTCTTTTATTTTTCTTTATCTTTGTGCTTTAATTCCCATCTACGGTTTGCTAATGGTCTGATGGCTGCATGTTAGGAAGATGGTTGTTATAGTAAGCATGTTACCTTCATGAACAAAGAAGTTGGCCATATACTGAGATATCCAGACTGCATTTTCAGAGTGCGGATAGGCATAGCCTCTGTTCCACTGAAAGCGATTCACTTCTGGATGCCACTGCACTCCGTAGATAGGGTAATCCCGAGCTGTGGACATAGGATAACTGTTGTCAGTATGTACAGCACGGTGATGAGGTCACCACTACATCTATAGGCTTATTTGTGCACGCAAAGTGTGGTGTTTATATCCTTTATGGTTTTCCAGTTCAGCTGTAATATTATTATTATGACATAGTATTTATATAGCGCCAACAGTTTGCGCAGCGCTTTACAGTATAAGGAAGACATTACAATCACAATACCATTCAAGACAAGATGGTAAGAAGGGCCCTGCCCCTGAGGGCTTACAATCTAAAAGGGAGGGGCAAGTGATACATGAGGAGGTAGCTGTGTGGGGATAAATTATTTGAGAATGTGATGGTTGAGTGGTTAGGTTGAGGTGGGATAGGCTTCCCTGCAGAGATGAGTCTTAAGGGATCACCTAAAGGCAGTCAGAGTGGGAGATAGTCAAACAGGTTGGGGTAAAGAGTTCCAGAGGACGGGAGAGACTCTAGAGAAGTCCTGGAGGCGAGCATGGGACATATTAGACATTTGATCACCATCCCCCAGATGGTTATGTTAGCTTACCCTCAATGGTGGAGATAAATTGCGCTCCATTCCTATCCCGGTTTGTGGAGAGGATCCGGTAAAACTCAGACAGCTTCTTGTTGGCAAAAAAACCCTAAAAATAATAATAAGCGTAGAGAAAGAGATGAAGGAAGGAGGATATGACATGTAACAGTAGCATTATAGAAGAGCAATCCTTTCTACTCATCACAATTGGACGTCACAAGGCAAAGTGGAAAAATCTTCTCAGAGTGTCCAGCCAAAAAATTCATTTTGGATATTGTATGAAATATTAGAACCCCTGTCGGGTTTACTGCTATCCAGGGCTCCTGTATAGAGATTTTGCTTACTTCCCTCACTTCCTGCCTGGTGAAACTGTTGTCACGGGGACAGTAAATGAGGTGAAATCTTGGTGAGCCCTGGAGTAAAAAAAAAATCAGATGGGGGTGTTTGATCCTTAAAACCTGCCATTATTCCACGGATGGATCTTCAAAACTAAAAACAGTTTTGCTTTATGGGCTAATTCACATCCCCACCAGGGAGCCACAAGTGCTGCCTGCATCGTCCCTCTGCCAATGGCTGTACAAGGCTGTATAGGTGGGTATACAGTACATTGGAATTTCCATATACCCGGGCATACAACTATGGAAGCAGCAGAGTACAGCCATTGACTTACATGGGAGGCTGTAGGCAGCACCTCTATATCCCTGGCAGGGAAAATATGGGTGCGGGTGCCCCTGTGGATGAGCCATGAAGTGGACCTTTCCCCACAAATGACTAAAATCGCTGATACATGCAGCTCTGCATGCAGGACCAGATTTACTCTCTCTCTGCTGTCCCAAGGCCAGGTTCCTCAATGCACCCCCCTAACCGCCGAAACTCCCCCCCTCAAGTGCTGCTCCTCTACTCCCCGCTGCACTGAGGCCAGCCCTTGTTGGCCTTGTGGGAAATCCGGCCCTGTCTGTATGCTCAACAGTAAAAACTGTACACTCATACAGAAAAAACGCAGTCAACTTTCAGTTTGATTTATTTTAACTTTTTCCAAGGTGCTAGTGACAACGGCCTCCTGGTTTGGCTTCCCTCACCAGCACCTTCAAGGGAGCTGTCAAAGGTCAACTGCAAGATCTCACATAAATTATGCATCATCTGTTGGGGTAAAAGTCCATCCATTTTGTTTTTTATCTGTAAGGGCAATGTGCAACGGGGCACATCTGGTATAGATGTCATCGGTGGGTTGGAGGAAGCTGGTTGCTGATGGTGTAAACCATAAAATAGCAGTTTGGGCTTTACAGCATTGGGTGGACAGAGCCATGGGAATTTACTAAAGCAAGTAACCATCAGATTCTGTATGGGTTCGCTGGACAATTGTATGGATGGTGGTGGTTAATAAACAGTGTATGGGGGGGTAAGGTCACATTAGACATAGAGAGATGTCCCTACTCCAAGTCTCCATGAAAATCCTTTGCCTCTGGAACTCTGGGTGCCGACCAAAGAGTGCCCAACCAAGCTCTATGAACTCAGCAGAAAAGCAGAAAGCCGCACACTAATGACATCAGATCACAATGCAATGTGCTATGTCCAGGTTCAATAAAGTTGGATGTGATCTGACATCATTGTTGTGTGTGTGCTTTTTTGCTTTCCTGGGAAGGTGGAGGTCCACTTTGAGCTGCCTCTTCAGGACACCATCTAAGATGCAATTACCATTGTGAAAAGCCTTAGTGGTAGAGAACGGTCTGAAGCCCTTTAGGATCTATACCTAAAAATCCCTAAGATACAGATCAATATATTGTCTTCTCCTCACCTCTGGAGTTAGACCAAAGTGGTGGAAGTTGGCAGTTATGTTCTCTGTGGTGGCAACACGGAGTAGCTCAGGGGGAGCACGGCGAAACATTCTGCTGGAGGAGATGTCTGGAGACAGAAGACAACAGTTATGGAAATTTGTCAGGAACGTTGAACACTAGAACATCAACATGACCTGCGTTTCTACCTCGTGGTGAAAGGAATTCAATTTGCAACACTGGGACAACTTTCTGCCCCTGCAGAGAGATAGATAAAAGGGAGCTAAAAAACCCAAAATATTGATAAATGTGCGCAATGACAACATCTCCTAAAATGTGCTCAGACACGTATGTCCACCATGGTTGGAAGCTTCATTCCGACAGCCTGGAGCCCTTCAATATATCACATATACAGGCTAGAAGGTTGGATTCTCCATAATATTACAATATGTGGAAACCTGTCTTCTGTATCATTTATATAGCCGTGAACTCACCACAAGGGACAAACAAAATTGAGTTTTAATTCTCATGAAATTTCAGTAAAAATTGGAAAGTAATGGGAAAGGTAAAGTGAAAGTGTACATCACGGAAAAATAACCAAAAATATGTAGCACATTTCTCCGATACATGGACATTTCCCCATGTGTTATCCCTCTAAAGACCCGGTACAGCGCAATACCTGTTTATGTGTAGGAAATACACTCCGCTTCAAAGTCCTGTTATGGGCTGACAAACGCAGCATTTTTGTGGACTGAGTGGTGTCAGCCCTGCTCAGGGCTAAATTACTGAACCACGCCCCTGCTTATGTTCACAACATAAGCACTCATTGATTTGTAGCCAATCATAAGAACTAGGAGGGCCAATTAGGCTCCTTGAGATAACACAGGAAGTGTGTACAGGGCAACTCTGAATGTCTAAAAAGATCTGTAGGTTTTTACAAAAAATTAAAAAAAATACTTAAAATGATATATTTAACAGAAAAAAAGGGAGCAAACAAAGTAAAATCATGGATTACATGCACTTTGTTTTGGGGTGTTTTATGGGAGCAATGGGATTTAGGTGGCTCCTTAGGGATTCTGAAGCTCCCTTTGATCTATCCTGGATCTGTTCTTAGGCCAAAATGCGGCCCCTCATCAGTTTTTTTATTTTTTACAAAAATATATAAAAAAACGGAAAATAAAAAAATGTCAAATGACAGAACAGGAAAAAAAAAGTTAAAACACACACAAAAAAGGAAAAAAGCCACAAATAGAAAAAATAATACATTAAATAAACTAAAGAAATAAAAAGGAATCACTCTGCTTATCCTCACTCACCAGGCAGAGACTACAATGGTGAACACTAGAGGGGAGGCTGGGCTTGGTGTGAACCCAGTTTGCCTGAGTTCGCCCAAAACTCTGACCGCCACCCCCGATCCAATCAGTGGTGGCATCAGGGGGCATTCCCCACCCCTTTGTGATGTATAGCTTCAGGGCAGGGCAACGGATTGGGTCGGGAGGAGCGGGTGGCAGTCAGAGTTTTGAGCAGACTTGGGTTCACACCAATCCCAGCCTCACCAGTACTGAACACCAGCAGAGAAGCTGTAGAGAGCGGCCCCAATGGAACATTCCAAAATTCCCCCCCTCCTGCTGTGCTCACCATCCGTCAGGTTTAGTGGAAGTGATATGTTGTCAGCCGGTGTTTTACTTAATAAATTTTCTCCACTCGTTAGGGCAGTGAGGACCTGGAACCCCATACACGTCCCCCAGATAGGGAAATATGTTCCAGAAGAAGCGGCCTGAGAGTAACAACAGAAGAAGACGCTGAGCACAAATGATGATTTATTTACTATAAAAGGATAAAACGACCTCAACAAATAGATTTTAACAAATAGAACACGGGATCAAATATTACAAGAGTTGGATAAAAGAATTAAAGGGCCCAGACTATACATATTCATCTACTTGCATATTGTGAGCAAGCAGTGAAAGCGCTTTAATACCAGCCGTCATCTATCTCTGTATCTATAGGCATTGTGGAGAAATTCATCTTCGAAGAACAGACGCTTATTCCCTACTACTTTCTATTGCACCGGAATCTTGACAGCCTGCCGGGAATCTAATGTAGACACACGGAGGGTGTTCATAAGTTTTAACAAAATTGATACTTAAAGTATACCAGAGGTGTGGAAAAGGGGAGCGCTGGTAGAGCACGTTACCAGGGGTTGTGGTGCTGGCGGTACCTCTGGCTCTGTCCGTTGTCCCGCCCATCTCACTGACGTCATTGGTTGCCAGGTGCTGGGTGGGACACCAGCCAGAGCGTCCTGCTCAGCTCCTTGCAAGTGACGGGACACCGGCCAGAGCGTCCCAGATTGCTAAAAGCACTTATCAACTTGGGGGCTCTGGCCGGAAAGAGGGCAGCAGAAGGTGTGCATGACCACATGACCCAATGAGATGCCGTCTGAGACAACAGCTTCAAGCTATCCCATTATAGGGGCGGTCCTGACAGGCAAGCATACTAGGTCTCTTCTGCAATGAAGGATTCTTATCTACCCATTCACAGTCTTCTTCTGCTAAGTGTAAGCTACGCATTGGTACCGGTGACGACAAACCTGGATGTTGCATCGACGGAGGGGAGGTGAGTATAGTTCTGCTTTAACTTGAGAGTCTTTGTTGTGATCTTTGAGGATCTTTAAGGATACATTATCTCACAGTACAAGCAGCTACAGAGGTCAGTGATTGTTTAAAGCTCATTTACTGCTTGTCGAGAATAAGAAAATACTTTACTGTCCATAGTCTGGGCACAGATGGGGCACACCATATTGCACACCAGGCTTCACATTGACTGTAACAGAGCCAGCAGACATGAGGTCGGGTCCCTCTGATATTCTTATGTACATAGTTCATGACCACCACTCACAGGAAGAACTAAATGGGTCTGAGTGTCGAGCTCACTCACCTTAATAGAAAGGTTATAGAATATTCCAGCTGTCTGGGAAAAACTAGACGTCAGAAGATCAACAGCTCCTCCGGGAAGAAGGAGACTGTGAAAGAAGTAGACATCGGTCACAACATTGTAACAAAGTTCTGCAAAGCTCACAGACAGGACACCAACACAGGACACCAACAAAGGACACCAACACAGGACACCAACACAGGACACCAACACAAGACACCAACACAGGACACCAACACAGGACACCAACACAGGACACCAACACAGGACACCAACACAGGACACCAACGCAGGACACCAACGCAGGACACCAACGCAGGAGACCAACGCAGGAGACCAACGCAGGAGACCAACGCAGGAGACCAACGCAGGACACCAACGCAGGACACCAACGCAGGACACCAACGCAGGACACCAACGCAGGACACCAACGCAGGAGACCAACGCAGGAGACCAACGCAGGAGACCAGCGCAGGACACCAACGCAGGACACCAACGCAGGACACCAACGCAGGACACCAACGCAGGACACCAACGCAGGACACCAACGCAGGACACCAACGCAGGACACCAACGCAGGACACCAACGCAGGAGACCAACGCAGGAGACCAACGCAGGAGACCAACGCAGGACACCAACGCAGGACACCAACGCAGGACACCAACGCAGGACACCAACGCAGGACACCAACGCAGGACACCAACGCAGGACACCAACGCAGGACACCAACGCAGGACACCAACGCAGGACACCAACGCAGGAGACCAACGCAGGAGACCAACGCAGGAGACCAGCGCAGGAGACCAACGCAGGACACCAACGCAGGACACCAACGCAGGACACCAATGCAGGAGACCAACGCAGGACACCAACGCATGAGACCAATGCAGGAGACCAATGCAGGAGACCAATGCAGGAGACCAACGTAGGAGACCAACGCAGGAGACCAACGCAGGACACCAACGCAGGACACCAACGCAGGGCACCAACGCAGGGCACCAACGCAGGACACCAACACAGGACACCCACCAAAGTTTCACACATATAATATTATGGTGGCTCCTGAACTTATTGGGTGAAGAAGAAACATTTCCCTTTTGGCCTCACCCCCTCCCATTAATATAGGTGATGCGATGAGTTGATGAAACATTAAGAGGCTCCACCTTCTCTTCTCTAGATCATAGAGACTGGAATCAGAGTTCTCACTCTTCCCTCCTTCCACAACATTGTAGACTTCTGGGTTCAGTTAGAGGAGATGGAGACTGTCCATGTGACCAGCGGCGAAAAGCAAAATCCACGCTTGGTCTATTTATACAAAATCTGTATGGCTAGTCCTCCCGCACGTACATTTATTCTAGGGATGCACCGATACTAGTATTGGTATCGGTGCAGATGCCGACTATTTGGGCGAGTACTGGTACCCGCCCAAATGCTCCAATACCTAGCCCGATACTTGAGCTTCCGCTGAGTCATTACATGCTGCCCGGCTTCTTGATTGGCCGGTAAGCTGGCTCCATGCTCCCTCATCAATTTTTGGACCGGTTTGGACCCCTTGGTTTAGGGTGCCAGCGGGTTCTCGGATACTTGGTATCACTGTCATCATATTTCCAGGGAACTGTCACAGTAGGAGAGGCCATGTTGGAGGCGTGCCTTAGTGCTCAAAAGCCAGCCCAGGGCTGAGGGCTCTTGATAGAAGTATTGATGCAGGATGCTGTGATGTTTTCAGGAAGCTATGTACAGCACCCTGTCAGTCCCCACTACCCATTATCTACCTGCACTATATAGAGAAGCATGGAGACCCAGTGATGACATCACTGAGACTATTGTAAGGTATGTAATGAAACCAGAAACACTTTGTTTAAAAAAAATGTATTAGCATATTAATAATGGGGAGGGGAGGAACCAGGGAAAGCAAAATATAAGCATATTAAACTTTCATTTTAATTGCAAAATGTGTCCCATTGGATGGATTTATCATTTGTATTATCGTTTTGTTATGATTATTATTATTATTAGCATTATTATTAGCATTTGTATTCTTCTGATTATT